TGAATGTGTGTATACATATATATATGTAATATTTAAAATTATGAATATATAATTTTAAATATATCTGTGGATATATAATTACATATATCTGTGTATCTACAATTATATATCTCTGTGTGTGTGTATATATATATGTATGTATGTATGTATGTATGTGTATACACACACACACACACACACACACACACACACACACACCACACACATACATACACATATTTAATTGATCTTATTTTCAGAATGCCTGTCCTGAGGCTGGGCTACTCCTTGCCCCAGGGCAGGCAGCAGAGGGCAGTGGGGGAGAGGGGTACGGATGGCAGCCTCAGCTCTGTTCTTACCTTCCCCGACGGGAGTCCCCGGGAGGCTGGGGCTGCGGGGGGCGGGCGGCTGTCCCTCCTTCACGCCGGTCGCGATGGGGGAGGCAGGAGTTCAGAAAGCAGGTGGGAAACAGCAATGCGCCGCCTCCCTAACGCTGTGAAACACGAAACAAAGAGAGGAGCCGCCAAGTGTGATCAAAGAGAGGGCAACTAGAGAAAGCTGCAAAGAAAAAGTACAGGAAGCAAGAAGAAAGAAAAGGCGTTTGGTAGCCGCCGCCGCCGCTGGCAGAGGCGCGGAGGGGGTGCTGCTTCGGGTCTGGGGTGCTCCTGGTTGTGGAGACCTCCCAGTGTGGGGGTGCTTCCTGGATGGGGATCCTCCGGGTTGGAGCGCTCCGAGCCTGCGGTGCTCGAGTCGGGGTATCAGCTCCTCCACATGGGCGCCGGACTGTGAGTTTCAGGAGCGACCTGATCGCCGCGGCGACGGCGCAGCTGGAAAATCCGGCGCCTCGTCCTTGCCCCGGGGTCGCGCCGCGAGTCCCAGAAGCTCCCCTGCGGTGGGTGGTGGCCGAATGACCTGCCGGGCGAGGAGGTGGCGCGCCCTTCAGGCCGCTGAGTGAGGTGTGCCAGCGTAAGGTGAGGAGGGGGTCAACTTGCGCCCTGCAGAGCAGCATCTACGCTTGCGGGAAGGGGCGACAGGAAAGAAGTCATGAAAGCGTTCCAGAAACGCAGTTCCGTCCCTGAGGTGAATCGAGGTGAGGGGGAGGTCGCTGTCAGAAACACTCAAGTCTCAGGTCTGTCCTGAGGCCTCTGCTTAACTGAGGGGTGGGGGATTTGTTATAAGAAAGTTAATGGCGGGGAAGAGGAGGGAGCAGAGGTATGAATGGGGACTATAAACTGTTTAGAAGAAAAGGATGCCAAAGGAGGACATGTGTCTCTAAATTTCCACAGTGTGGTAGATCTCAGGATATATGTTTAGACTAGTCAGCAGTTGGATCTTTCAAACAAAAATGAAGAATGAAATCTTCAGGGAAAGGGTTTAATGAGACAGTGATTTTCATTCTTTTTATCCAATCAAAATAATTCCTTATACGATAAATATAATACATATTATATTAACATAGTATACAATAAGTATAATAAAGAGAAAAATCATATAATTATCTCAATAAATGCAACATTAAAACCATCTGACCAAAGTTAACATCCTTTCTTGATTAATAACACTTGGAAAACTGAGACGACAAGAAACTTTCTTCATCTGATAAAGAACATGTATAAGAAACCTACAGGTAACTTCATAATTAATAGTGAAACACTTTGTTTTTCCCTAAGAGAAAAAACACTTTGTTTTTCCCTAAGTTCAGCTCTCACCTAGGACAATCATTTTGTATTAAGTAAATAAATAAAAATAGTAGGCATAAAGATTGGAAAGGAATAAATACAACTACTGGTTTGGACAGAGGGCATGACTTTATTATGTAGCTCACTCTTTGAGTTCTATTTTAAAAAGCACTGGAAACAATAAATGAGTTTTTAGCAAGATCATGAAATACAAGATTAATATACAAAAACTCAATTATAATCTGTATATTCTTAAATAAAAATTTGGAAAATGAAATTTGTTAGGAATACTGTTTACAATAGCATAAAAAACAAATACTAAAGTAAAAATGTACAAGATGTACAAGATATCTACAATGAAATCTATAAAATATGCTGAGAGAAATGAAACATCTAAGTAAATGGAAAAATATACCAAGACTCATTGTTAAGATATCGATTCTTCACAAACTGTGGAGTTTATAGAGTCTATACATTTTTAGACTCTATGGGTTATAGAATCCATATATTTCATGAATTCCCATTCTAAATCTCAGGAGAAATTTTCAAAGAAATTGAGAAGCTATTTCTAAAATTTATGTGAAAATGCAAACCATCTAAAATAGAACAATCTTGAGAAAAAAAAAGAAAGAGGATTTATGCTGACTTGAAGTTTTACAGTAAGGCAACAGTAATTTTGACAGTGTGATATTTGCATAAGCATTTAAATGGAAAATAATAAAGAGTAGAATAATAGATAATCTGTTGATTTTTGACCAAGGCACCATATCAATTCAATGGGGAAAGAAAAGTATTTCACGAATGTTGCTGGAACAACTAGCTATCTCCATGGGCGGAAGTAGGGGAGTAAACCTTGACCCTTAGCTCATCCTACATACAAATATTTATTCACAGTGGATCATAGTCCTAAACATAAAAGCTGCAACCATAAATATGTTATAAAAATACATAGGAGAATATCTCCATGACCTTGGGGTAGGCAAAAAGAAAAAAAAAAAATTCAGTGGGACACAGAAAGCAGTAACCATGTAGAAAAAAATGTTAAATTGCATGTCGTCAAATTTAAACTCAGCATGTGTTTAGAAAATGTAAATGTTCTTGAATTCTCACAGAGGAGCTTATACTATACAGTTAAAATATATTTTAAAATAAGAAATATGGGGCAGGTTGAAAAATAAAGGTATTATGGAGCCAGAGAAGAGATTATTATTGTTATGATATCTTATATACTTGCTGTAGAAAAATTCCAAATTTGGCTGTATGTTTTTAAAAAGCTAATGTAAAGAGAGAAATAAAATCAGTTCCAAACATCTTGTGTCCATAAGTCAATAACATATTTATTATTTGAGGTGGGCGGGGAAGCAGGAATAAAACCATGTCTATTCTAACAGTGAGGCTGCAGAGAATTTATTCTTTAGAACCTTCTCATTGAGAGAGGACATGGAATATAATCTACATTATAAGAAACATAGTAAACTGTCATTAAAACTCTTGCCATTTATTGAATTCATACTCTGGTCCAAATACTACTACTTTTCTTTTTCATTTGATTAGCACAGAAATACAAAGAGTTTGGTATGACTATTCTCATTTCACCTAAGGTAACTAAGTTTTGAAGACGTTAAGTAGCTTATGGTCACACAACTGGCTGATAGCAGAGGATGACTTGTTGATTCCAAATTCTATGATGTTAACCAATCAATTATACTGCATTCTTTCCACTGGCTAATTTTTTAGTAATTCAAAAAAAAAAAAAATCAAATGTCATCATTTAAGAGTAAATAATCTACCAGAGCAAAGTAAGCAGGTTTAGCAAATAAAGATATAAGATTCCCAGGTAAATTTGAATTCCAGATTAATTTCAGATGAATTTTTATTCTCTGAATTCAGCTTTCACTGACATCTTCCACTTTATCCAGCAACTCTAATCCAGGGAGTATCGATTTAGATTATAGGGTATCTAGAGAGACGAGTGGCTATAGATCTTTTAGCCAACCTTTGAGAAATATGATTCTTTTCAGGAAATATTCTGCGAGCTATTGAACGACAGTGAGTTCAAGATTACACACTCTGCAAGGTTCCAGAGTGCAGGGTTGGTTGGTTTGTTTCTTTTTGCAGTTAAATATGAAATCATACACTTTAACAAGCAGCTCAGCTGAGGGTGGAATCTCCACTCACTTGCAAAACCTGATCTCAGACAGGAGTCCCAGCCCAAGGGGACATTCTTTTTGCTCTGGATCCATTGAAGGGCTCTGTGGCCCCTGAGGGCATTTGAACTCTGCAAATGGGCGTGGCCTTGACTGTGCAAATTAGCTCAGTTTTGCCAAAAAGTTCTGCCAACATGCCTAATTTCATAGAAACGTTACAACAAACAAAGTTTCACGAATTAAGGAAAGAATAATTGGGAGATATAAGATATATTGATATGGTCGTTGCGGAATTATTTATAATAATGGCTATTTGAACACAACTTAAATATCTAACAATAGGTAACTAGGCCTGGCAACTATAACATAACCATGAGCTAGAACACTATGAATATTTTAAAACATTAAAATTTAAATGACATGTCAAATGCTTTAATCATGATGTTAAGTAGAAAAAATATAAAAACTATACATTATGTAATTTCAGCTATATAAATGATATGTTTAAGTATGAATTAAGTTTTTTAAAAAATACGAATTTACCAAAATGTTTAAAAGTCATAATCTTAGAATGATGGATTTATGAATAAATTTGTTATTTTCATCTTTTATACTTTCTGTTCTATCATTTTTATAGTAAAAAAAAATTTCTAAAAGGAATAAAAATATATGAAAGAAATTTTAGGACTAAAAGAAAACTTGATTTATAATGACTATCAAGTAAGATACTGCAACAAAAATCATACCAAACCCTTTGTATTGAGGTGATAAAGCTAAGCGTCAGATCAAATAAAATACAGTAAATTGTGGCATGCGGGAACAAGATTCACAACCTGAGTTCTGCTTGAGAGAATCTGAGTCTTCTTCCATCTTTCATGAAAATGTAACTAAACCTCTGAATCTGATGTTCAAAATGCAGAATATTGGTGAATAAGGAGCAGAGAACAAAAAAAGAGAGAAGAAAAGGCATAGTGAAAAGACAAGCCACAATGGAGAAAGACCCACAAAGGAGAAGAGAAAGAAATGTGGAGTGGAGAGAGAGGGACTGAGAGTAAAAATTGGGGGGCATCGTCTTTCCACCCAGAGTCCAGAAAACAGAGGTAACTTTTCTAGATGAAACCCAAGACCCAAATCCCTTGCCCTTCCCAGCTCTCATGCCTCGGCATCCAGTGTCTAGTGCAGGGGTGTAATCCCTCTAAGAGGTGTTCGCATTTACAAAATCTGGTGTGTCAGCATGTCCACGCAGGCACTGCGGCCCCTGGGCACTCAGGGAAGCCAAATGCGAAGGCTTTCTTGGAGGTTTGTTTGGCACAGGCATGTGGTACCTCACGTGCTTCCAGAATTTGGAATTCAAGGACCGCTTGTTGGCCACGTGGTCGTCCCTCCACTTGATGGTCCCCTGCACTTTCATGAGGTGCCTGAGGGAATCTTGCATCTCCATCCCCTGCAGCCCGCCTGGCTCACTCAGAGCCTCCATTTCAATCAGAATCGCTTTGGAGTCGTTATGGATGAGGGCGCTGTGCAAGGCGATCTCCTGCTCGTAGGCAAACTCCTTGCTGTGTAAGATCTGAGGCGTCAGGATAAAAATGTGCCGCCTACTCTTCTGTATGTTGGTTTCCACCGCAGTGGCCGCATCTAGTAATGAAAGACATGGAGGTCCCCTGTTGTTGCGTTTTTAAGGCTAATGTTTTGATCATCGATGTTCTAAATTTTTGAAAAAGTGTTACTCATAATCTGATGTGAGATTCTGACACTATCAGTATGCTTATGCACAGAAGAATGTCCATAGATAGAAAGCGCGGTGTGCGGGTCTCTCCCTTCTCATGTGGGAAGATTGACGCCAAGGCCCCATTTTCTCCCAAGGGGACCTTCTTAACCAAGACAAAGTCCTTCACGTTAAATGATAATATAGAGGTATTTAGCGGAAGATGATTCAGGTTCATTAACTGCATATTATCTTTAAAATATTAGCTTACATGTTTTAAAGGGGCTCGAATTTTAACTCTCACATTAAAGAGTGCAAATTCAGAAATGCTTGCTCCTCTGATTTAATACTAGAAAATTGTGAAGGAAGACAGACCCCCTTAGCAAGTCAGTGTTTAGGAAGCATCAGCTCCCCGGTGATTTCAGTTAACTCCTGGGTAGACTTAGAAAGAAAATGTGAACACCCAGTTCTCCCGGCAAGGAGGGGATGGCATGTTTAAGGAAACCCAACCATGAACATAACAACTCAAGATATTCTTAGATAGTGGTGGCAAAAAGCCTGCCAATTCACGAAGTCTGAAATGAAAAAGTGAAGGTTAAATAGTGCCAGATAGAGACCTGAGTCAGTCAGGATCCTTAGTGAGAAAGTGGCACCCTCAAAAGGGATGACAAAGGAGAGTTTATTGAAAGAGCAATTTGTAAAAGATGTGGGCGGAGCCTAGAGAAATCAACGCGAGATGATGCAGAACCCCCCACAGCTGGTAATATCAGCAAGCGGTTACTCTCTCCAGTGTGCAGGGAGGAAGGAGCATGAAAGCCAAGGAGTGTAAAGACTTGAGGAAGGCCAACTGACGAGAGCCCTCTGCTGCAGGAGGGAAGAGACACGCACCCCGGCAACTCCACCCAAAAGGAGCATGGACGTGCTCCCTGAGACCGCCCCCGCCCCACCCCGGCTGCAAAAAAATATATATATATATGCCAGTGTCTTGCATTGGCCAAACGCAGCGTGGAGCAGAGTGATAGATTTCGTAATGATCAGCCACCCAGGGCCACTGGATGGAGAGGGTTGCAGAGTAGATTTGAAGGAGCAAATGCAAGGCAACTAGCATGGAATACTAGTTACACTGCATATACTACATAGGTCAGTCACACTTTTTCTAAGGGAAGAATGAAGTTTGGTGTGGTTTTGTTGGATTTTATGTACTTCAGTTGAGGTAAGTTCGAAGGACATACTTGAGAGAGGAGAAGTGGGAAATCTTTTCAAATGAAAAACAGCGCCATAAAGGCAACACAAGCTTGAGCATCAGTGAGCTAGCATTCACGTTTGGCTGGACAGAGGTGCAACTAGAAATGAGGCTGATGGACGTGAGGTAGAAGGGATGAAGAGCCTGCAGCCATGTGTAGCACATGGTGTGCTGTCACAGACAGCTAGAGTCCCTGCAGCTTCTTTAGCGGATGTGTAACATGAAAAGGGTGTTTAAGCAACATGATTCATTACACTCTACTTTCATGGGTAGCCAGTGGGAAGAACTGGAAGAAGAAGAGAGCCTGGAGGGAAGATGTGAAATACGTTTTCCTTAATCGTACATTTTACAGGTCTCTCAAGCCATTACTAGGCTGTTAACATTACCCAAACTTTCCAGAAAAACAAATTCACTTATCATGTATACCTTTAACCCTATAGCCATGTGAATCTCTCTTTTCAGTGGGAATGTCAGTTTAAATTCACAGTCTACTAAATACTGACTTTATTGGACTTACACTGTTGATGACCTTGCCTCATTCACATTCCAGATGCTTCCTCATGTCCGAGAAATTGAGAAGGGTAAGGAGAGGGTAAGGAGCATTCTTAGGTATGTGACATAAATATGAAGGGAAAAGAAGAATGACTACTGAAATGCTGGAATGATGACACAACTTTCAAAAATACATGAAATGGACTAAGAATATTAAGAAACAGAAGACACAGTTCTGCTTGTTCTTGTGAGAATATAAATTTGCAAATGTTTCACAATATAAGGAAAATCATACGACTGAGTCCTTTTAAATATTTAGGCAGTGCCTCTGGAAATTAGAACAAAGTTCTTTGGCTTTTATGCCTTCCTTCAAATCATCTAGAAAGAATTAAGAGATGTTGAGTGATCCTAGTGATGGACGTGGAAGTGAATAGAGGCGGTGCTCTGCTAAATCCGCATAACAAGGATGCTTCACTGACACTACTGTGAAGACCTCACAATCAAGGTGACAATGAGGGTAGGAGGAGCAAAGTATAAGTATCTCCTTCTTCTGGAGAATATTTAAAAGCTAAGCTCTCAAGACCTGGAATAATGACTACAATTCCTTATCCAATGTAAGGATAAGACCACCCATCCCTTAGCCTTCCAATGAAGCGAATTTCTGTTCCTGATGTGTGTTGACAGCATTACCTTCTCCAGGTAACAGATCTCGGCCATAAATGCATAAGTTATAGCCACATTTATTTTCAAGAACATCAGGCAGAATCTGGTGAACAAAGTACTCCACAGAACTTGTCGCCTCTGGATTATCTTTGTGGGTCCGCGGGTAGATCACATATGCATCATAGATCTTCCCATCTGAAAACAAGAGCAAGAAGTACAATCATATAACTTCGTTCTAAAAAATTCTCATTTGACTCTTAGTAGACATTCTTCCCCGAGTTATAAGGCTGTTGGTGAATGCGTCCCACTCTTCAAAATATTCTAGAATCTAGAGAAGGTAACAACTGTCTATTGCCACAAAAATGTCTCCAGGAAATCCATTTTAATCCCAAAGTCCTCCTCGTTACTGTCTCAGGCTGAATGATAGAGAGCAGACAAGAGCCTTCCCAGTTTAGTCCAAACCATATTGTCAAATTTCATCAGTAATCTCTTTATAATTATTTATAGCCATGAATAACGTGTGCTGTGCTAGGCAGATCTCAACTTTATCTTTTGTTTTTCCCATGCTTCCCAGAGGGAAGTGGCAATGCTGAAGGCTAACAGTGGTGAGGAAGTGAAATTTTTTAAGGGATCTGAATTCCTCACACATCCAACAACTAGCCCTGGTTGAGTGGACCATGTGAGAAATATAAAGGATTATCTGCCTCTACATGAAAGAATAATGTTCATATTTAGCAGGCAGAACTGTCTTCTCTCATGTGTATACTTGAGTGCACAGGTAAGACTTTATGAAATAACCTGCATTCTGATGAACTTTTCCACATCTGGAAAGCAGGAACAATTTCATTAATGTTTTGAATTCCATAAAGTCTTACCAACACATATTTTCCAAAATGTGTAAACCTTTCCGGGCTGGGGCAGAGTCTATTATTGGGGCTTTGGTTGGACTAGCAATCCTATTGAGGAGGAAGTTTGAGCTGATGAAATGAATCTCGGAACCATGAGGAATGACAAGGCAGGATGGAGAATGGCCCCTCACTGGGGCCATTAAAGTTTCACTGATAATATGCTGGAAAGCCAAAAGGAATCTGGGTTTCATAGCATAGCTATTAAAAGATTAATAGACAAGTATCTAATAGCCATGATGAGACCTCTTCTTTTGAAGAACAATTGGAAACTTGCCGCTTACCATTACTAGTTTTGTAATGTCCAGCAGTGTCTCTCCAGAATAGAGTAACCTCAATCCAGAACACTTTCAGCATTATCATCATAATATTGATTAGCATTAACAATGTGCCAAATCCTGCAAGTATGTAGTAGGTGCTTTGATGATCAACTAGTCAAAAGATGGGGGGAAGACAAAAATGATGATGATTATTATGAAAACAAAGTACAATAAACAAATATGTGGATACTGGCCTCCACTGGGGGTACTAGAGATTTATTAAAGAGATGCCCACTTAGAATTGTTATGGCTGCTCTAAGAATCAGTAAATGATCCTTTCTGAGCCCCTACTCTTCAAGGCAGCAGGCTGGGCATTGCAGGGAATTCTCAAATCATATGAGGCATAGAGACACATGTAAACTTAACTAAGATAGGACAGACAAGCACAATTTTAGCTGGCAGAGGTTTTTTAGAAGGAGCACTCATTCCATGCTAGACTGTGCAATGAGGGTTTCCTGCAGGAAGGGGTCCCTGAAGACAGAGCAAGATTCAGATCACTGCAAAAAAGGAAAATGTACTATTCCTGGCATGAGAAGATTCTGTGAGTTCAAGGGCAGAGATGGGACTGTGTTTTCTGAGGAACTAAAGTAATCCACTTTAACAATTTTGCTGGCACTTTGCTGGCACTAATTCCACTTTAGGGAATTAGTAGAGGATACGATAAGAAAGGTGGGTCCAGGCTAGGCTCTGGCCAGAATTGAGGCTCTGATCCTTTATCTCACCATCAAAGAATGGTGAGTGGGGTGTCCACAATGAAAGCGGTTTTCAAGCAAGATTTATCTGATGGCAGTGGGGGGTTGTTCCCGTTGAAGGAGAATGGGCATAGAATGAACTCAGGGTGAGAGATGAGGAGAGCTCAAACTTATGTAATAATGAGAAAGAAATAAACAAGCCTGGTGCTGAGGGCATTAAGGAGAAAGAATCAACAGATCTTGGAGACTTATTGTATCTGGGGTTGGTGGCATAGAGAAGCAGGGAAAAAACAAGAGGTATTTAAGCCTTTAGTGTATATGATGGAGAATTCACACTACTGGCTCCTAGATCCCACACATACCCCCTTACTTTTCTTATGGTGGACATTATTTAGCAGTCACTGAATTTTATCCTGTACTCACTACTTCACAAAATACACATGCGAGATAGTGCTCATCTTTGAGGACTCATAACAGATATGTACAAATTGAATGTAAGAACCGTGCTCATTAATAGTATTTTGGGCTGTTTTACATTTACTTCCCTCTTTCAAACTGTCAACTATCCTGTATATCTTACAGAGTCCCACTAACAGTGAACATGAGGAGAATCTCAAATGAGAATCGGTTGTGTAGTTTTCTTTTGATTTCATCTCAAGTCTCAAAGCATGGGCTCCCAGTTTCAATACGGACTCTCACTGGCTCATAGTCAAACATTCCTCCGGTTAGTCATCAGCTACCTGAGAATCCAGCACTGTGAGATCACGAATGACCAAGGTGAAGTGACTCAAACCTGGTTCGCTGAAAAACTGAAAATTGGCAGAGAGCTTCCTGTCTGCACTATCAATCAGTTTAAATGCTAAATCCTCCCTAAGTAAATCATTTCAACAGGATTCCTCCCCAGTTTACTTTTTCTAAAACTCCTGTCTGGTTGCACACAGGGAATCTATCCTTCCTGTGGAGAGCTTTGTGAAGTAACAATGGGTGTGGCTGGATGCTTTCAACTGGAGGGAAGAGATTAATCCGAGACATTAATGGATGTTGAGGTTTAACATCTTCCTAAGTGTTAATGAATGGCTTTATAAGTGCATAAGTAATTCTTTTACATGATGACCAAACTCTAAACTCTTTCTGGGAGTGCTTATGATAGGAAAACACTGCCTGTGCTTGAATCCTGGTTCTGTAACTCTAGTGCTCTGCAAGTTATTCAATCTCCCTTTGCCTTAATTTCCTCATCTATAAAACTGGATGATAGTAACAGTCTCTTCCTCTTGGAGTACTGATTTTTTAATGAGAAATTAAATAGAAAATAATTAGGTCTTGGTATGCAGGACACAATGAATACATGTGTAATATTATTGTAATGAGTACCAAATATTTATTTAATTATATCTAATAATGTGGGGATATAAGCTTTTTAAGTTTTTGTTTTTAAAATTCAATACAATGCCGTAATTTCTTTTATTCTGTGATTAAACATGAAAGAATTCATTGTGACAGTTCGACAGCAGTGGCGACAATTTTTGTTTCATTTACACAGTCATTGAAACAAAGTATAACCAGGTCGATTTGAAGAAAAGCAGGTGAAAGGTAACAAATACAAATAAATTAGAAGTAACAAAATCACCAAGTACATAGAACACGAAAACAATTCTAATCCAGAGGTAACCAGAGGACAGTCCTAAAATGGTAATGAAAGCAACACGTAGGGATAAGATTTTCGTACTGGAACGGGCAGTAATTAAACACATCCCCTTTTCATCCACTTTGCCAGCCTCACTGACAAAATGTGTTTTTTTATGAGAAAAAAAAATACATTATAAAAGTTATAAAAAATACATTATAAAAGTTATAAAAAGGTAACAAAGAACATGTTCACAGTTTGCAGTTGGTGTGTTTTCTTTCACATACAGCGAGACAGAGCTAATGAAGGAAGAAGCAGAAAGATGAGCAAGAAAGCATTCGAGTGGTGAAGGGGAACCAACGGGAGAAGTGGGAGGGGGAGAAAGAGGAAGTAGAGCAATGGGGAGATGACCAGCTGAACAGAAATACTCTGAGACCATGCAGAGGGTCAGTGTTCTCAAGAAGAGAATCCCATTTTATGAGATAGGCCACTTCCATTATCTTGATAGATCCCCTGGAACCACACTGCAACACCTTGTTCTCTAAGAAAATGATTTCAGCTTATGACTGATACAGCCAACTTGGGTGACCAGGGTCTTGGGAACATTCCTTACTTGGCTTTTTCCTTAGTCTTACTCTGCGCTTTGTCAGGCCATGTGAATTCAGAGCCAGACAGTCATACTTCAGCAACAAATCCTCTTCTCTCACATCAGCTATTCTTAAAACGATGCTTTGACAAGTCAGGTCATTGCTAGAACTAAAAAAAGCAACGTGTTACATTTTTCTTTTCCTTTTTTTAATTTTACTTTTTTATTAAATTTATCAGGGTGACATTGGTTAATAAAATTATATACGTTTTGAGCGTACAATTCTATAATATGTCATCTATATATTGCATTGTGTGTTCACCACCCAAAGTCAGATCTCCTTCCATCATCATATATTTGACACCTCCTCTCCTTTTCTTGTTACTTTTTAACGCTCACTTTGCAGTTGCAATGGTGTGGGAGGGAAAGGGGATGTTTTAACTTCAGTATGAAAATACCTTTGATTTTGCTCTCGCTCCTCTTGAATTCTTACATTACTCAAGTTCTCAACTTTGCTTCTGTTAACCTGCCACAGGACAGCAGCCATGAGCTGAGAGCCTTTCCCGAAGCAAGCTGAGCAAGTAATGTATGCTGTTTTTCCTAGATAGAAGAGATTCACCCATAAAATTAGATTCTGCAAATAGTATTTAATTTAATTTAATACAAAAAAAGTCGTTGATCACCTAGTACGTGCCATGAATTGACTTCTAGTTCCCTTTCTCATCTTTAGCAACATCTTTCTATGCCCTCCCTTTGCCTCCTCCCCTACTCCCATGTTCTTCACTTCACTCACAATTCAGGGTGAAGCTCAACTCCCTACTCTCCTCTCACCCCCAGAGGAAACTAAAGAGACCAATGACCCTAGCTTCACCAACTGACATTATAACACAGGATTTCTCTTGACTATAAATTGTAATTTCATTTTAATGGCTCTTCTGTACACATTTCTCCTCCTTCTGAATTCTCTTCAGCACTCTCTAAGCTGTCTTTGTAGGGCAAGTGTTTTACCTGACCTGGCAGCAATCTGGTATTTAATTGTCCAAAAAGAGCCCTCTCCATCCAAACCCCTTTAATTTGAGACTCCCTCCTTTCATAACCGTAGGCATAAGAGCTGCCTTCCTGCATTGGGACACGCATTCAGCCAGCCCTTTCCAAGTCCTTGATTACTGTGTCTAGAATTAGGTATCTGAAGAGGGCTGAGGACCTCAGTGTCTCTTGGAAGGAGACAAGGGTATAAGTAAATAATTAGAACACAAGGTATTCTTACATTCTAGCAGAAAGATTGACAAGATGACATGGGAATACAGGGGAAGAAATCACTGCAGGGAGCAGGGCTGTCACACTGCACACCCAAATGGTGGCCTTGGATTCCATAAAAAGGAGACTGTGATCACGGTCTCTGGCAGGAAAGGAGGGGAACATAGGAGATTTCACAGAGGAGGTGACGTTCGGTCTTAGCGTTTAGAGATGAGAGGGAGGAGCAACATAGGCAAAAGCAGGGAAGAATGTGGAGACGCTAAATATCCATGAGGTGGTCAGTGAAGTGGGGACACAAGCTATGTGGGGTTAATGGCTGCAGATGGGCGGGGATATAGGGAAAGGCCAGGTTATGAGGGGAGGTTCTAAATGCTAAGGACTTTGAATTCTGTCCTACCTCTAGTGGGGAACCAGGAAAGGCAGAGACGTGTCCTCATCCTTCCATCGCTGATTATCTACAACCTGGGACATGTCACTGATCCTATTCGAGCCTAAGTATCCCCAAAGATAAAGTGGGAACAATTTCTACCTCCCAGATAGAAGTGACAATGGTGCAGGTGAAAGCGCCATGTGTTACAAAGTGCAATACAAATGTAAATGCTTCACATTGCTGTGATGACATACTTCTGAGGTTAGCAGGCACCCAAGGCAGTGTTTCCACCCATGACATTACATTTAATGCTCAAGATCCACCAGGCTAATTGCCTGACCCTCACTTGGGAATTCAGACCAGAGGTCAGAGGGAAGGATTTTCCAGGCAACATTTATAGCATTCTTTATGTTTTCTTACCGATTTCTACATCTTTTATTTCATTTTGTGGAGGGGCTATAATTACTGGAAACGAAGAGAAGCCATTCTCATCTGAAATAAAAAATAAAAAGAGAATATAAACATTAAAAGAACATTTGGATGGTCATCAATATAAAGTTTGTATTTTCATATTTCTATCTTATTTCATAGCAATGTTTCCAAAATTTTTCTGACGATGACAATGGCAACAAATACAGACACACATACACACACACACGAATGAAACAAAAAACATCCAAGTAATGCTTTCTTTTACTACCTATGGTGCTCTTTGATATTTTCTACTTTCTTTAATCTCATTAAACAACTACTAGTCCAATCCATTAAATTAATTGCATCACTGAACAATTGTTAGAAATTCACAATTCTACAGAAGGAGCATAACACCCCAGGAAAGAAGAGTTCAAAAGACCCACGAGAATGATAAACACATAAGTTCACACTTCTCTTGTGCATAGCTTTCCATCATCGTGGCCCATCCTAGTAGGAAATTCTAATTCCCTGTGTCCTTGATGCCTAGAGACCCTGAAAAAGGAGTGTCTGGAACACCACTGCATTCCCACACCCCTGGGTTCTCAGGATAGCACAATCAAGAACCCCTGTGAGTTTTGATGTGAACCAGTGAGAGGCACTAATAAAAATTTGCTCTGGTGATGCTTATTCTATAGCAGTGGGGCTCTGAAATACTCAAAACAAAATTTTTCTCTACCATTGTTTTGCCCTAAGAAATCTGCCACACATATAGGTGTTATTTCATCCACATCAATAGCTCAAGCTAAGCTAAGGAGACCCTAATTCTTTGTAGATTTGACTCTCTTGATAGTGGAGTCTTTCCCCTGAATGGGCTTTTAAAAAATTTAAAGTATATTCGAGAAAGAAAATTTTAGAATGAAGTGACCTACTTGTCACTGATGATGTCAAAAGCATTGCAAACCGGGATTGAAAGCCACTCAGTATCTATGTATCTTTAAAAAGCTTCTCACTCAATGTCCAACCCATTGAGTTATGTTAGAGGTTAAATAATTTTTTTTTCCTATTTACAGAGCCTCTGACAAATTGGAAGAAGGAAAGTTAATCTCACTCTCCAAATAGTTGTATTGCCATTCAAGAAAGGTAATTAAGTTAGCATCCAGATCACGTTATCTTCTAAAACTTAAGTCAAAAAGGAAAGAACAGACGTGGCTTTGGATTAGTAGCGTAATCTCCCTTTGAAATTTCTTAAATCTTAATCGTGCATTTAGAAAATCTCTTTGCGTCATAAGTAGAGAATGCAAATTAAATAAATCAAGAGGAAATATCAGGAAGGAGGATGAAGTACAGGAAAATCAACGACATTCCTCCTGGGTAATCTTTTGGCAAATATCCTATTTTGTTAAATTCAGTAGCTTACCCTGAACTGTGAATGATCTGGTTGCTGTCACGATGTAATTGACTCCATTTTCATTGTGCATAAATTTGCATGTATAATCACCCGAGTCCTTGCTAGTTGCATTGTCAATCAGCAAATATGTCCCTTGTGTGTAGTACCTTGATCCTTGAAGAGCTTTACAATTCTGAAATTAAAATGCCATTTTACTTTCAGTAATACTGTACTCGCATCTATTTTAATTGTGTAATTTTCATCTATTTCTCCAAACTGTCTTTTTACCTTAAACCACTCAACAGGAGCCGTCCAATTGTAGAGGCTAATAGTAGGACAATATATTCTGGAATTTTTTTCTGTCCCAGATGTTGTTGAATATATGAAGTCATCTGAAATATTGCAATCTGGTTGTTTTTTATATATGGTGACATTCACATATCCAGTCTTATTGAAAGTAGGACTATTAAAATAAATGAAACAATTTAAAGAAATAATTTAGGATTATAACTTCAACTAAAGCTAGCTTTTACTAATTATTGCTTTTCTTCTTAAAACAATGACATATAGTGGTTCTTTTCTTTAAAAAATCATTAAAATATAAGGTTTTAAATACTTTTTTTTTTTCATGTTTGAAGTAAAACAAACCTTACGGCAGCCCTAAAAATGATTCCCTTGCCATTTTTTTATATACTGTATATACTTTATATATCTGCTCTAATGCCAAGAACCCAATACAAAAATTAGTATTTATTGAGAGTTTGCTATGTACCATCCATAATGGCAATATTACCTCATTTTATTGTCACAATAATGCTTTGAACTGAGTTATATTATTATATATATTTTAAAGAGAAAATTGAGAGACAACGAAGTAACTTGCCAGCATCGCACAGTTGACTAGTGACACAGCATGAATTTAAAACTGAAACTTGTCTGACCTCAGAATGTAGACACCTAACTATATACATCCTGTCTTTTAATGAAATTCATTTCATATGTACCAAATGATATTTTGTATGTACCAAATACGGGCACGAAGTCAAAACGTTTAATAGTTTGTATATAGAGTAAGTAATTTGTAGACACATAATCTCACATAACCCTCTCTAGCCTACCTCTCAGGTGTGAGGCACAGGTAATTGCCCTTTGCACCCATAGGCCTCCTTAATGCCCATCCCTTGGTTACCATTTTTTGTGCTGGTTTGTTCTCACTTCCAGCCAAAATTGAGCGATTGGTCTCAATTCTCTTGGTCACTAAGAAAGCTACGTCTTTACTAACTGGGATACAAATTAATTCTTGCAGTTATACATCAAAATAGTTAGTTCATGATCACCTAAACTCCAACACAATGGTGTTCCTAGAAGTACTTTTTTACTTAAATCACATTGTAAATTCGACTGTTCCAGAAAAGTGAGGGCAGCTCTGGCTACCAACACTTAAAGAAAAGAGAGCAAGCTCAAAGATTATGGTGGCATCCCAGATACTACCTTCTGATAATGCAGGTATAAACTCCAGAATCGGTGACTTTGGCGGGGAGAAGCTTAAGAAGTTCCCTTGAGGCAAATACATGATTTTCTTTCTTGGTAGTAATCTTTCTGTTGGTTTCTGAGTAATACCAGTCCACAGAGTATGAAGAGCTTCCTTGTCTAGGACATCTTACAATTAAAGCCTCATTTTCCAGACCCCATTTGTTTGCTAATAATAAAAAAAATATATATATATATATGAGATTCTGAAATGACTGTATAAAAGGATTACAATTCTTATGTTCTAGAATATTTCCTTCTAGGATAAAATTGAGAAGTGGCCTATACTTTGTGATACTTTAACTGAGAAAGAATAAGTAAATGATTAAGATCTTTTGTGAAATATTCTGAAGGATACTGCAGATGCATAAATGAATTTGGAGCTAAATCCCCCAAAATGCTCCAGTAAAAAGTAATGCCTATCTACACAAAATACATTGTCAATCAACAAATGCTTAGAATAGCTCCTATGTGCAGGTACCATGTTGAATTTTGACATATTTGAATATGTAAAACAAAATATGGTATGTTTGTTATGAAAAATTTGTCCTGATAGATTGGTGATGAAGAATGAGTGCATAATTATGAGAGCATAAAATAATTTTCCAGGGTACATTCATCTGGAACAAATGGAAGCAGGCAGTTCAAAATAAGGGAAAAGTTCTTGAAATTATTTGATTTAAAATTTTTTTAATTACGGTTTAAAAGCAATACTTACTAAGCATAGCTGCTGTGGAAAGGCTGAGAAAGCTTAAAATTGCCAAAACCCAAAGTCTCATTCTCAGTTTATCAGTCTAGAGCAAGTGCTGGTAAGTGTTTGCTGAGATTATTCAAGTTGGACCCGTGACGTGTGACAGTGAAGGTCACCCTGAGGAAGCTGATGATGTTTCTTAAGATTTATCGTTGCAAAGAGTTGCCAGTGTCTCTATTGAAAAATAAAGCATACAAAATCACAAGCAAAATATTTACAACCATAAACTTTACTTGCTTAATACCACCCAGGTGAATTAATCAATCAACAGGTGTTTGTTATGTATAAATATTTATAATAACAAGGTTTCAGACACGCATCATTGCATTTATCCCTACTGAATCCTTGATCACGCTATTTCAGTGTATGGAAAGAAGCTAAATTAAGAGGAAAGAAAGCTGGTTTATAATTTTGAAAAAAATTAAAACCATGAATTTCAACAGACTCTAAAAAATATAATATTATCAATGCTAATATAAACCACAGACATGCACACAGGGTGGTGGCTATGTACACAAATGTGAGCCACAGTCAGGCACACATGCGAATAATCATCAAAAGCAACTAAGGAAGAGGAAAGCGATGGGTAAACCATTAGTCAAATAATTGCCTAGAAACTACAACAAACTCTCAATAATTTGTCCCTGCCTCAGCTTGTCCCCAAGATTTACCAAAGGCTTTCTAAGAAAAGCTTGAACATCCGTGGAAAATAATTACATACCTTTCTTTTTCCTGTCGGCAAAAGAATCACTTAACTAGATTTTTTTTTTCTTAAAAAGTCATGGGAGGGATGGAACCAACATAGAAATAGACAAATACAAGAATAAACACAACAACTCTTAATATATTTCAAGAAACATAACAATCCTTAATATATGAATGTTAATGCTTTTTCTTATTACAAGTATGGAAACATTTTTATTACAAAATTTAGATAAGTAATTGCTGCTTACCCAAACTGAAGGACAGAACACAATGACCTCCAAGAACAATTTCCAGTTCTGTGGCTCCTTCCTTGCAGACTCCTCAGGTGCAAGCACTCTCTTTTATTTAAGATGGGAGACACCCCACGACATCCTGCAAGTCACCACTCCACCCACCCTGAAATTTTATTTTTGGCTAAAATTCATGACTTGTTCAAAATGCCGGTACATCATGTACCAAGAATTCTTGACCATGACCCATAAATATTTAAACGGAGGAGCAACACTGAATAATCTTATTAGAGGAAGTAATCAAAGTACCTCCCCTATTTTAGCATCCATTTCTCAAACTAAAGGAAGCTGCTTGTTTATTGCCCTGATATTGTTAGCCTTTTGGTTCTAATTAATCCTGAAATCTTGGGGCCTTGCAACCACCCTGCTCGATATTCCTGGACACTACATCTGGCAGATGTCAGCTGTGCAGTCTCAGCCAGTCTTGGCAGATTTGGTGCAGAGAGTTTCAAAAGCAAACTGTCAGCATGAAAAATGATAATTAAGCGGGACTTAATGAGGTCCTGGAGATGTTCTGTTTCTGGTCCAGAATGTGACACAGTGTCATCTAAAAACAGATTCTATCTCCTCAGATTTAAGTTCCTGTTGGACTCTCCATTTGGATGGAAAAAAAAAAAGTTTTTCTAATGAGTTCGGAGAAATAGAAGGAGGCTGTGTGTAAGAAGGCCACCTCAAGGGAGTGACAAGAAAAACCAAAACACTGGACTCTTTGGGCTCCATGTAAAACATGTCATTGCAAAATTTGATTTTAGCTATGCATAGCTGTGTATAGCTCTATAATGAGTAAATAGCTATGTATAACTTTATTATGAATAAATTCAACTTAATTTTGAAACTCGCCACATCTCAGAAAGATTCAGGGACTAATTATAGACCAGCATAATAATAATGATGATGATCATAATCAAAATCATAATAGCTAATCTTTCTCTAGAACTCTCTCTATGCCAGATATAGCTCCAAGTGACTAACATATATCAACTCCATTCTCATAACCACCCAATGAGACAGGTGAGATTATTATCCCCATTTTACAAATAAAGACACTGAGGCACAGAGAGGTTAAATAACTTAGTCAAGTCACACACTGCTAAGAAGTAGAATCAGAATTTGAACCCAAGCAAGCTGGCTCAAAAATGCCACTTGAGTCATAAAACCACCAGGCAAGGAAGGTTAAGAGAGGAGGTGCCACAAAAGAAGAATTCCAGGTGGGTTTTGGGAGTTTACTACAATATCATCCCCCATCCCTACCTCCGACTGTGGCTGTCACTGCTCTTGAGCAGGCCTCTGCATCTGCATGGAGTTTAATCAGATTTTGGGTGTGTCAGCCATGTGCTCTGACAGAAGAGATACAGTCTTGTCACCCCTGGGAGATGAGCCATGAGATGTTTGTTGTAATCTTGAGGAATTAGTTCTGCTTGTTGCTATTCCCCGACTTAATTGTCAATGTTCTTATTATCAAGATCATATAAGATTCAGCTCTGAGCCCACAGAATCAGGAGCAGGAGAGCCTGGAACAGTTCCTGGGGCACTGTAAGCTCCAGATAACATTTTGTTAAAGAAAATAATATGAACTTGAACACCTTAGACTTGAATATAAACTTATATTTTGTATCATAAAACATTTTTCAACATTTTATTAAATTTAGGCATTTCTTCATTAAACTAGGCCATATTTACATTGGTTTCTCAGTTTTAAACAAGGTTTCAATTAGAATTTTAACATGAAATCTTACAGAAGCATTTAATAAAGTATAATTATTATTATGAAACAATTTGGTCATCCATTCAACGGTTAAGTCCTGTCATTCAAAGTGCAATACTGTGTGGTACTTATCGTCAACATCTTTCAAATTTCGCAGGTGAAAATAAAAAGCAAAGGAGGAGACTGGTTAATTTGACCAAGCTCACCCAGTTGTGGCTGGATTTGAAACCAGACTTGTTGAATCTCAAAGCCAAAGCGTTTTTTCTTATATCAACTAAAAACAGGAGAGATTGGAGCAGTGAAACTTTCCTTCTTATAACTGCAAATGGGTTATTGAATAAAATAAGGTAGTCTAATTTCCCTTAATGCTCTTCTTTATAAAGAACTAAACCATTTTGGCTTCGAACTACTATGACATCATTCAATGAAAAAAATATAGTAGTTTAGAGTAACTTACCAAGACAAAATGTGAAAGGCAAGGGCTTTTAATAAATAAATAAAGCAGAGATTTTGAGCAGCCCTGAATTTCTGCCAAGTTAATCAGAAACTTCCTAGTGTCTGCGTGTTTCTCTGACAAATACCCTCTTTTTGAGACTTCTTGGAACTACTCTTTGTTTTTAATATTAATCTAATCTAATTTGGCCATAATTTTTTTTCTGATTTGGTGGGTTACGATTTTGAAATCTTGCATGTCACTATTTATAACCTAATTCTCTGAGAATTCTCTGAGAATTAGGTTATAAATAGTGACATGCAAGATTTCAAAATCGTAACCCACCAAACTAAAAAACAAACTAAAAAAAGAAATAAGCAAAAGAAACCTCTATTGCCAGAGTAAAAGCTAGCTGTGTGTATTTGGAATATGGCATCCAAATGTTTTGTAACTTCAAAGACATTGTGTGAGGTTTATTCATTTGTCTTGGCTGACGGCATAGCTTATGAAAACAAATTTGTCTTACACTCCAGAGCTGGCCATCTGCAGCCTGGTCTTACTGTAAACCATGTCAAAACCCAGGAAATCTCTGTCATGTTAGAGTTACATGAATTTTATTGGATCCGGTTCTCATTCGATAATTCTCACAAGAATAAGGGGACATTTTTCCCCCTCATTTCATCAAAGAGCATTTTAGATGCCACTTTCTGTCTGTTTGTCTTGATGAAATGTTTGTAGAGCCTGTGATGATGAATGGGGACAAATCACACGTGTGGCATTAGGTAGCTTGACCAGTGTCTCGGTATAAGGCTGTGGGCCCAGCTCCAATCTACGTGTCACCTTAGGCAAAGCCCTTGTTTTTTTATTCTTCTTTGCCACACTCCAAACTCCAGGGGCACTCAACGCTTAGCCCCTTCTTTCAATTCTCCTTTTGGCCTTGCCCATTCTCCCCTTCAAAAACTAGAACAAACTGGTATGTAATCAAAGACAAACTAGCATTACAAACACTTTATATCTCCAGAGCTAAAACCCTGATCTCCCCTTTTCCCCCATCACCCATAAGAAAAGTAGCATCTCCCACAGTCTTCCTTATCTCAATGATGGCAACACTACCCTTCCAGTTGCTCAAGCCAAAGCTCTCCATACGTGATTGACTCTTCTCTTCCTCACGTACCTGACATGCAGTCAGACATCCTATCGATTTCACCTTCAAAGTATTTCCTACATACAACTACTTATCTCCACTCCCATTGCCACCTCTCTTGTCTGAGCCACCATCATGTCTCACCTGGATTTTAACAATAGATTCTAATTGTTCTCTCTGCTACTGCCAGCACTTCTCTTCAGACAATTCCTACTACAGAGGCTCCAGGTATCCTGTTAAAATCCAAATCTTATCATATAGGCCTCCAATGTCTTTCCACCTCACTCAAAAGAAAAGCCAACACCTTTACAGCAGCTGTGAGGGCTCTCGGAATCCAAGGCCAACCATCACCTCCCCAACTCTTCCCCCTAATCCTGTGTCCTCCTTGCCATTCCTTGAGTGGACTAGGCCGATTCATCCTCTGTGCTTGCTCTTCTTTCTGTGTGGATGGCTCATTCTGGTTACCCCCAGGCTACCCCTCTCACCCAGGAGCTTTCTGGGAAGAAGAAATGTTTCTATGTTGTTTGGAATGGTGATTACATGAGTGAATATAATGATAAAATCTCATTCAACGGTTAAGATCTGTGTTCTCAATTTAATATTAGTCATTTCTCAGTAATAATTACAATAAAATAAAGTCATATTCTTCCACATATGTAATAAGAATAGCACTATACTGAAGTCAAGAGACCAGATTCATTTATGAGATAACACAAGAAATTTCCACGGGAGGTTTTGCTGATATTTTATA